AGGGGAGTTTTACTACTAGAAATCAAGAGAATATAAATAGAGTTACAAATCTCTCAGACCAAACCCTAAAACAAAGCTCTTGATCTCTCAAATCTCTCCCACAATTGAATGCAACAATCCTCTCTCCAAGGATGCTCAAATTCGTCCTTGCCTTAACCCTAAACAATCAGGATTTGAGTTATATACAACTCAGAAATGAAACGGGTCAAAAACCGAAAGGCCCAGCCCAGATCATCGTCGGTCGACCGCGCAGGTCTCGCGGTCGACCGCACCGGTCGACCGAATCATCAAACCCGAGAGCAGAAAATCCTACAGTCATCCGCGATCGACCGCACCGGTCGACCGCCACCATCTTCGATCGACCGCACCGGTCGACCGCCACCAGCTCTGATTCCCAGTAGAGTTTGTGCACGTTTGCGGTCGACCGCGCCGGTCGACCGCCAAACTCTCTGCTGATTTTTCTGAGTTTCTGTAATTTCTTCATTAATTTCTTACCAATATGTTTCCAAGATCGATTGAGGTCATACTATTTCCTAAGCTAGTTTCAGGAAATATCACAGTATTCTTTTTTCTCCGTATTAAACTTTTCATTTTGCGGTCGACCGCGCCGGTCGACCGCCAAACTCTCTGCTGATTTTTCTGAGTTTCTGTAATTTCTTCATTAATTTCTTACCAATATGTTTCCAAGATCGATTGAGGTCATACTATTTCCTAAGCTAGTTTCAGGAAATATCACAGTATTCTTTTTTCTCCGTATTAAACTTTTCATTGTTTCACCATTCTTTCTCTTCTTTTTAAGATCTAATCGCGCGCTGCTTGCACTCAAAATTAGCAGCACGCATTCCTGTGGTACGATATTGGTGAACGAGAGGAATTAGCATCATCTATAGACTATACTTGTGTTCCTTTATATGCCTGGTAGCTGCTTCTTATATCTGACGTGCTTCAAAAGAAAGAATATATACACACATTGTCATTTGAATAATATTGTAGTGAGCAAGGTACATATAACTTCATTTTCAATGGATATCTTCAGTTAAATATAGCCACGAGTGTATTCAGTGCTTCTGTAGGTGACTTATTTAAAAGCTGTTGTGTAACTTGAGATGTACTGTAATCATGAGCATAAGTTCTCAACCTTGTTCCTTTGAGTGATGTTTTTGGTTCTTTTCTGTTATGTTTGGTTTAGCAAGTGCTTGTGCAACTTGTAGTTCTTGTTAAAAGAAATGCATTTTCTGACCTGAGATGGTAACAATCTTGCGATTAGGGTCATGTATATCCATCTTGTCAAATGAGAAAATCATCTACACCCAAGTTTCCTTATGTTACAAAGTTATGTAGCGTTTGCACTAATTATTTTCAACCAAACACCGATTTGTATTAAAGTACATTTCCTACAATATAATTGCAGATATTGAAACGAAAATTTTGTAGTACTAATTTCATTCATATTCATCGCCACAACATTCGCTGTAATTTATTTTTGTAGCAAACCAAACAGTTAAAATCGAATGATTGTTAACGGCCAAGTTTAAGATTTATGTACGCGCATCAATCCGTGTGATCTAGAGGACCTTCAATAGGATTTTTTATATTTTTCTTTCTCCTCTTTCTTGAACTTTTCTAAACATATTTCTCAGTTTTATTGAAATAACACTCATAATCAAGCATGCAACAAAATTTTATTTGATTATTTTGAACCCTATCTAAATAGGTGTTATCAGCGTCTTCGTGCTCACTTAACCGATCTGTGTGCGTATTCGAATTATATTCGTATTTGTATCCACATCCGTTATTCACAACGTGCTGACGTAATAGTACGTACCGTATCGGATCTTTATGCCCTTCCGTTTGCACCAAGGGTCAAACAAAAGTTTTAGACTTCACAAATCTGGGCCCTTATTCAAATTCAGGCCCAGATGTTCATCTTAAGGCCCTGTAAAGACATATACAGGTCGTTTGATCTCGAATGATTTAACTTTTATGCTCCGCTATACTCAATCAGCCACTCCAACCCGAACCCGATAACTCATCGCACTCCGATAATATATCCGAACTCCAAAACCAAGCACAAAGGTGCAGCAAGCAAAACCCTAGCTTTGAATTTTCCCCTAAAAACTGAAGAAATCAGCGAAATAGGTGCGTTTTTTAAACCTATCTGAAGCTCAAAATCAATGCTTGTATTAGATTCTCCAGACCCATGTGGCGTTTTCCCAAATTTTGCAGAAATTTGGTATTATTTTTACCCACATCTCCAGTTTCTTCAAATTTGGTCCCTTTAATTAGGCCATTCTCCTCTCCATCTAAAGAAATTTTTGTATCGGGACCTCCCATTTTAGAGAAATTACAATTTTCTCGGTTCTGTACACTCTCCTCACATAAAGATCTCATCTTGGACCAACCCGTTAGTGAAAATAATGACCAGTTAATTTCTGCTGCTGATAGAGTATATGAAGCTATCATATCAAACTCCAATTCAAACAAGAGCTTGGAGGCAACCCTTGATTCTCTAGGCTTAGAGTTGTCCACTGAATTGGTGGACGATGTCATTAGAAAACTGCGGTATGAAGAAAGACTAGCTTTGAGGTTCTTCACTTGGGCTGGGCATCACCATGATTATGCTCATGAGAGACAAACTTATAACTACATGATTGATATATTATCGAGTACTCGATACAAGTTGAAGCAATTCGGTGTTCTTTGTGATGTCCTGGATCAGATGAAGCGAAAAAATAACCATTCCGTTTCAGTCGAGGCCTTAATGATCATACTCAAGAATTACACAGAAAAGCATCTGACCCATGTTAGGAGATTCGCCAAGAAGAAGAAAATAAAGATCACGGCGCCAGAAGTGGATGCATTTAACATGTTACTGGATTCTCTTTGCAAATGCAGTTTGGCTAGGGAAGCTGAGGTTTTGTTTCATCGTGTGAAGAAAAGGGTCAGTCCAAATGCTGATACTTACAACATTTTGTTCTTCGGGTGGTGTAGAGTTAGAGACCCGAAGAAAGCGATGGAGGTGTTGGAAGAAATGATCGGAATGGGTTTTGCTCCTGAGAACTTCACTTATAATGCTGCCATTGATTCTTTTTGCAGTGTCGGGATGGTATCAGAGGCAAGAGAGCTTTTCGAGTTCATGAGGACAAAGGGTTCAACGATATCTTCGCCGACCGCTAAAACTTATAGTGTAATGATTGTGGCCCTTGCTAAGGATGATCAGATGGATGAATGCTTTAGTCTTCTTGGTGATATGAGGAACACTGGATGCCTTCCTGATGTTTCAACCTATAAGGATTTGATCGAAGGGATGTGTTTAATAGGCAAGATTGATGCCGCATATAAGATACTAGAAGAGATGGGTAATAAAGGGTATCCACCTGATGTCCTCACCTATAACTGTTTTCTGAAGGTACTATGCAATTTGAAGAAGCCTGAAGAAGCCTTGATGCTTTGTGAGAAAATGATTGAGGTGGGTTGTGAGCCAAGTGTTCACACCTACAACATGCTTATTTCAATGTTTTTCGAGATGAAGGAATCAGAGCGGGCAGTTGGCATTTGGCATGAGATGGATAGGAGAAAATGTGCGAGAACTGCAGATACGTATAGTATCATGGTCGAGGGGTTGTTTGATTGTGAGAGAGTCGATGATGCATGCTCTCTTTTGGATGAGGTAATAGAGAGGGGGATGAAATTGCCATTTGTGAAGTTTGATGCTTTGATGCGGCGTTTATCGGAGATTGGGAATCTCCAAGCCATTCATCGGCTGTCTGATCATATGAGGAGATTCTACAATGTTGCCATGGCTAGACGATTTGCTATTAGCCAGAAGAAGAAGAGCATGAGTTTGAGGGGGAGATAACATATATTATTTGCCAAAATTGGAGTATAGTTGAAGAAATGATTGTGGTTCTGCAAGAAGACCATGAGTTCTGATGATATGCGTATGGTTATTTCTTTTTTTCTTTTTCTTTTTTTGATACTATACAATGTGACGGATATTTTAGAATTATATTTGTTTCAACTTTGAGCGCATTGATCATGGCATACAATGAGTTGTATACAATGTGTTTTGAAGAAAGAAAGGCACCTTTTTGTCGTGTTCTACACCTTGTCAAGAATAAAGTTGCCCTTTCCTCTCATTTTTGTCAGAAAGCAATAGAGACGTGTGAGCTTTAGTCTTTTGTCCTTACCAATTGAGGACATGACTCTTTAACTGATTGAGTTTTATCATGTTATGAAACAAAATTGAAACCTAATCCAATTGAGGACATGACTCTTTAACTGATTGAGTTTTACCATGTTATGAAACAAAATTGAAACCTAATCCAATTCGAACTGAATTCAACTCTTTGGCTTAATCATCTGGTCTCTTCCCTTCAATGCATGTTTAGGTACCTCTTGTTGTGCGTAGCGGAAATTTCGGCAGAGTTTCTGGTGCACAATAAGAGAGAAAGATCGATAAGAATTCTTGTTTCTCAAAGGGAACAAGAATCTGAAGCCTAATATCCCATCAAAGTGGAATATTAGCTCTTCCTCTCGTCAGCTCTAGGACTGCGCGTCGAGGGATCCTAAAAACTATTACAATGGCCACAAACTCAAACAATCAATTTTATGTGGTTCGGCAAACTGTCTACGTCCACGGGGCAAGGAGGGGGATCTACTATTAGAAAGAAAAAAAATACAAATGGGTTTACAACTCTCACAATCTAAACCCTCAAATAGGCTCCTGTTTCCGTCGAAAGTCACCTTAGTCATTGATTTCATTAAACTTTAAGCGTTACAAATGAATTCAAATAACAAAAGAACAAAAGATTACAACTTTCTTGAAAATAAACACAAGATCCGTTTATCGGCTCTTGCTTGCGTGGGTTCTTCGCCGGTGCCGGGGTTAATCCGTGGACGACCGCGAATCAGATCCGGTTGATGGAAAATTGGGCAGAGCTTCTACCTCACCAAGGGGGTATTTGCTTGAAGTCCTGAAATCGACAAAGCGAAATCAGGGCTCTTCTCGAGATTAAGACAAAGCCTAATCTCAAGGAACGGACGTACGAGCTTCAGATCCTTCGAACGGCTTCTCCTTTGCTCCGAAGTTCGCCAGGATCTCGTTGACCTTTGCTGAAATTTCGTGCTCCTTCACTCTCCAATCCAGCAGCACCTCGTCCTCTTGATAAAATTCCAGATCCAGAAAATGGAGGCCTTTGGCTCATATTTATAGGCCTCAAAATGCGGTTATTTGGATAAGAACAAAGGATTTGGCTCTATCTTCAGTCAACAGCAGCCCAACCACGTTTGGGAATGATCTCAAGTCAGTTAAGAACCCCTGGAACCGATAAACCCTGCAAAAAACCAATTTAAAACCGTCAAAACGCGTTTTGGGACATTAGACTGCGCAGCAGAACGATCTGACCCGCGCTCGCGCGGGTCGGAATAATCCGACCCGCACTTGCGCGGGTCGGAATAATCCGACCCGCGCTTGCGCGGGTCAGAATCATCCGACCCGCGCATGCGCGGGTCGGATTGATCCGACCCGCGCTTGCGCGGGTCGGATTGATCCGACCCGCGCTTGCGCGGGTCGGATTGATCCGTCCCGCGCTTGCGCGGGTCGGATCATTCCGTCCTGCGCTTAGCGCGGGTTCGCCGACTTTCTCCCTTTTTTTGGTTTCTTTCTTCCGGGACTTGTTCTTGTTGCGTATTCGTTCGATTTGTTGACTTGTATGCTTCATCGCGAGACCAATCGTCGAACACACGTTGGTTAACATACGCGTGCTGATCGATGCGCGCGGGCTGATTGACGTGCGTGCGTTGACCGGCGCGCAAGAGTTGGTTGACGTGCGCGCGTTGACCGGCGCGCGCACGAGTTGGTTTGACGTGCATGTGTTTGACTGACGCGCACGCGTTGATTGACGTGCGCGCGTTGACCGGCGCACACGAGCTGATTGACGTGCGCGCGTTGACTGGCGCGCACAAGTTGATTGACATGCACGCGTTTGACCGACGCGCACGAGTTGATTTGACGAATCTTCTTGACTCGCCCATTCATTGCTTCGAGTTTCGTGTGGGCTCTCGTAGACAATTTTAGACGCCTACAGATACCCCCTCCAAAGTGTTTCAGCCTCATTCTTTTATAGAGGAGTCTGGAACGCTTTGGATATGATGGATCCCCACCTTCAGTCGGTGTTAAAGGACCTACAGATGGTTTCGATTCTTGACTTCTCCATATTTTAGCGTATTCTGTATTTTGTCGAATAGCTAAGATTTTCCCGGTACTGCGTTTATCGTCTGACCGTTATTGAAGCCTTGAACCGGAATTGGTGAGTGGATTTTTTTGTTGATATGTCATTGAGTTGACTTTTGGATCAATTGCAACGCGTTGACAGGCGTTGACCTAGGGCTACGCGTTGACTGGCGTTGACCTTAGGGTTTCGAATCGATCGGCGTTGACTTTCATCGCAACGCGTTGACCGGCGTTGACCTAGGGCTACGCGTTGACCGGCGTTGACCTTAGGGTTTCGCGTTAACCTGAGGAGAACCAGTTTATACTCGTGTACTCCTGGGAGTTTCGGGAATCAGTTTAACCTCGTGTACCCGCCGGAGGTTGCCAGGTTATCCTTAAGAATTATTATCTGTAACATTCTCTAGGAACTTCCTGTCAAAATGGGAAACAGTTTAGACTCATGTACCCGTTGGAGTTTTGAAAGGTTATCCTTAAGAATTATTATACGTAATATTCTCTAGGAACTTCCTGTCAAAATGGGGAGCAGTTTAGACTCATGTACCCGTTGGAGTTTGGATATCGAGTATTCCGATAAAAGGCGAAAATATCGCGAAATCACCCTAAATATAAAATTGGGTCCCGAATATTCCGAAATAGGTGAAAAATCATGAAATCACCCAAAATATAAAATTGGGTCTCGAATATTCTGAAAATAGACGAAAATATCTCGCAATTATTTGGGAGACGGAATTGAACTCCGAAAATTCCAAATCTGACTGAAAATGCCGCTCAATTATCCGGGAAATGAAGTCGAACTCTGAACATTCCAAATATGAACAAAAATACCGTGAAATTGTCCGGGAGATGAGGTTGAACTCTGAAAATTTCGAAAACGGACGAAAACGGACGAAAATACAGCAAAAGAGGCACTAGACCCGGTCTGACCCGCGTTCACGCGGGTCAGATGAATCCGACCCGCGTTCACGCGGGTCAGATGGATCCGACCCGCGGAACGCGGGTCGGATTAATCCGACGCGCAGAACGCGGGTCGGAGATACCTCGAGTTTCATCTTGGTTATGAGGGAAGTCCCTTCTGTATTCTTTGGTAGTTCTTTGCCTACTGGTCCCTGTTCGCAATCGCAGTCATACTGTTGGATACTTCGGTGAACTGATCCGGCACTGAAGTGTTCGTTGACTTTCCTCTTCCGCGTCATGTTAACAGATACTTTTAGAAATTCATCATCTTGGAGAACACTCTCTTCTTCGAAACAGTCTTGGTCTGGATTCGGACGTTTTGGTGGAGATCTTTCAAATACTGAAACTCTCTCCGGGGTCTTGGAACAGCAACATTCTGACACAACTGCCTTGATGATTTTGGCACATGGACAGTGAAGAATCTGTTTTTTCGGCCCACTCATTTCCTGGATTTGTTCGCACCCCCAGCTTGATAGTACAATCGTCAGTTTGATGACTGGAGCAAACCTATCGTGTGTTGGCACGACTTCCCAGTATAACGTCTCGTCGACGAGATGTTTTCTTCTGAGGATACAACGCTTTGTTAGCATTTTCAGGAGTCGCATGTCTAAGGCGACGTTTTTTGGAATGTCGGCCCTCAACAGGCTCCTGGATTTCAACACGCAGTCCAATCGGTCATTTCGGGACTTTTCCGCTTATACTCTCTTCCACTGCTTAGGATGACGACCTCCAGCTGACAATGTGGTCGAGATTCATTCAATCGGCCTAAGCCTCTGACCGGAGTTTTGCCCCGATCATCGGGTGAAGGGCCAAGGCGATCTTTGATGGTCATCTTGAAATGGACAAATCCACACTGCTCACAAATCCAACCGGAGGTGCGGAACTCGATGGAATCGAAGAAATAGTGCAGGACACTTTCTGTGCTTGAATCTGTTGCGGTCAGACTTGGGTGACCCGCAAGTTGGAAGGCGGATTTGGACGACCCGCAAGTTGGAAGGTCGGATTTGGACGACCCGCCAAGTTGGAAGTCGGATTTGGACGACCCGCAAGTTGGAAGGTCGGATTGGAGTGACCTGCGTTTGGCGGGTCAGATGAAGTACCTGCGTTCGGCGGGTCGGATTTAATGACGCCCCGCTTTGGTCGGTCGGATTGAAGTGACCCGCGATTTCGCGCGGGTCGGATTGCGAGTGCGCCGCGTTTTCGCGGTCGGATTGGAGTGACCCGCGATTTCGCGGGTCGATTGGAGTGACTGACGTTTCCGACATTTTTGGCCGCCGTTTTAGACTTTGGCCTCCATACTTGCTGCCTAGTTCTTTGTGTGTTTATGTTCCACTCCTTCTTTCTCAATTTCTTGGCCTCTTGCAACAGAATTTTTGCTTGTGCAGGCAATGCGCGGCGTTGTGAATCCGCCTCTTGAAGAGTGATCGGTTCCTTTTGACGCGAACCCATTCGTTCTTCACTTCGTTTAAAAAGAGGGGGCTGTCCACTCTCTGTTGGTGGTGGTTGGGCGCCTTCTACTTTTCAGATCCGCCTCATAGCGGACTCCATCAACTGTTCCAAGGCTTTGGCAGTTGGCGTGCGACGGCGTTGACGTCGCTCTGACGTGCTCTCTTTGATAGAGTGGCACATCCTCAACAGTCGACCCTTTGCTTAAGGGGTTCAGATCTGTCAGTTTTAACTCGTCGGATGCCGACGGGGCGTTGTAGCCACGGGTGCAGCGGTCGGCGGAAGATCTTTTCTTGGGGCTTCTGCAGTGAACGTCCAGCGGGTCTCCTGGAGGTGCCTTCCTGGATTGTGAGGAGAGGCCGATCTGGAGGAGAGGAACAAGTATCCTCGTACTTCTGCTGTCGAACTCATATTCGACCTCCGTTTCAACCGGGATCGGATCGAGGTTGCGACACGTCAGCCTTCGCAGAAACAGCGTCGGCTCCCACTTGGTCGCCAGTTT